CCTGACCGAAACTAGAGAATAAGTGAATCTCATAACCAGCTCTGAGATTTCGAAATTTCGCAAATATTGTTAATGATGAGATTTATAAGAGCCAAGTCTATCACTGTTATATCTCTAGTAGATTCAGGATGTGTTGGTGCCATTCATCAATTGCTTTGAATAATTATCCAGACTGAAATTCCAATGAATTAGTAAAGATAAAAATAATTATGGAGACGTTATCTCAAGAGCCCGGCGCAGATAAAAGCAAAAGCACAAGACGCATTTTGAAATCTCAGAGCTCTAGGCCAAAACACAAACTGCAAGAGCCTAAATTGGTTAGAAGAATACACATATTCTCTCTATACACAGTCAACGGTTGCCATCTGATGATTGAAGTCGGCTGGAAAATGCAAAAAGCCAAGCCCGATGAAAGTACTGGTGTATATTTAACATTTCATAAAGGGATTGTGTGGAAGGAGGGTAGCAATGTGGCCGGGACTAAGAAAGATGTATCAGGACCCCTCAATTCGCCTTAGTAACAAAGCCAAGGATCTACCAGAGGGCACAGCCTCTCTTTATTTGCATGTACGCTGGCCACTTCATTGATATGATTATCTGGAGTACAACATTCGTCTGAGTTGTTAACAGCAAAGAGGTAACTGATAAGTTGCTGACTGCGTCTGAGGGGCTGGCTGTTGGGCCGTAGACTGAGGTGGGGCTGGCGTAAGAGTGGATTGCTGTTGTTCCGACTGAGATTGGGTGAGAGTCTGTTGAGAAGTGATAGTGGTTAAGGCCCTGACCGGTGGCAAAACCTGTTGGGATGAGAGAGATGGCGACGGATTAGCCGGTGGCAAAGTAGCCGAGGGAACTGGCGGTTGCGAAGGTTGCAGCGGTGTAGGCGGAAGAGGAGGACCAGATGAAGGTTGGGCTGTACTGGTCAAGGGAGATAATGTGGCTGGGGGAGGTGGCAAAGGTGGTGGAGGAGGAGGAGGTGGTGGAGGCGGAGGAGGTGGCGGGGGAGGAGGCAATGATGGTTGAGATGGGGGAGGTGGTGGTGGCGGTGGCGGCGCTCCTATGAGCCCAGGGCGCTGAATGTCCGCAGGAACGATCGAAGTGCTAGTTGCCGGAGATGCATTGGCAGTCGTCGAAGCGGGAACGGCTAGAGGGGCAGAGGTGGGCACGGCAAACTGAGAGCTGGAAGGAATGGAGAAAGATGTTGAAGGACCAGGCAAGGTGGTCGTGTCCAGGCTGTGTCTGAAATGGTGACAAATGAAGCGTATTGATTAACCAACATGAAGAGGGCAAACAAGTAAACGGTACCCCAATGACTGCATAAAATATAAAGTACGACTATAAACCAGCTAAATAGTAACTGGTCACGGGTGTAAATTTGGCAGGTGAAAATCGCTGGCTGTGGGCCCAAATATCTTATGGTTACCTGAAGAAAGTTAGTAAGAGAAATTCTACATTATTGTGAGACCTAGTCAATTTGTTGACAAGTTAAACTTTTACTTATTATCATTTAAATATTAGAATAGACAAAACATATTCAATATTGGACAAGTAGTGAACAGGAACCCAAAGTGGTCTTAAGATATAGAGGATTTACAGATAAATACAAGACTAGAGCCAATATAAACTAGCAGAATTACCAATATCCTAAATAGAAGAAAGTTTTGTGAGGCGTTGAGCAATGATAAATGGAGGAATGAGAGGGTAAAATGAAAGAAACCAAGCCACCGAGGAAAATTAGATGGCTTTATTTGCCTTGATATTTGCTATAGTTCATGAAATCGAATACCCATAAGATGAGAATCCACATAAAAAAGCCTTAATTCAATGATTATTGTATCAGTTATGGTGAAATGAAATGGATATTTGGCCATATTCTTATCAGCTCTACTAACCTGAAATGTGCAGGGTCAAAGAAGTAAGTACCGAAAGCATCGGACACTTTAATAGGGGTCAAAAATAGTCGCAGCCAACCAACACTCAGACCGAAGGTTTTTGTGGAGTTGTTTTAAAAATTTGCTAGTCAGGACAATGCCGAAATCTCAGTCCTGGTTCGTTGGACGGTGCCCGAATCGACAATCCGGACTCCAAAGCCAACTCTTCCAGATTCCGAAGTAATTTGACAAATCCCTTCAATTTAACATCCCATGCTATATGAATAGTTAAATTGGATGAAATACAAAGCTAACATTGTTTAAATCAAATTTATCAGCTTTCGTAACAGTAAAAACAACAAGTAATCTTTCTAAAAAGAGAGTATAAACTAGTGGAAATAAGCTAATTTAATCCGTGTGATTATTCAAGTCTTTTCATTAAAAAGGACCAAGTATGCGTCAAAACATGATGCGCGGCACCTTCAAAACGGCTAATCACTTCATTTAGTTATTTATGCCATATAATAACTCTTTGGACCATCTGCTCAACCAGCGTCCATAGCTCTGTAAAGTTACCACGATTTGGCCCATTGTTTAAGGCCGAAGGCTCACAAATATCTAGTTTGCAAGTCGGTTAGCGACTCAAGCCTGAAAGGCGATGTCTGCCCGTCATTCCACCGATATCGATCCTGTTTGCATTTAGCAATAGCAGTATAAGGCCATGTCACTGACATACAATTAATCGATTATTTACACATACTTGTTTCTCATTTAATATGCTTGATGTAACACTTCCGTACTCAGACTAGTTTGTAAGAAATCGCATATATTGCCTTTTCGACCTCTACACCAGCCCTCGCTCAATAAGCCTCTATTTTGTTCTTGAATTTGCTTTGTAACTGGCATTAACTGACAGGACCACAAGTTTTCAATATAAGTTATTTTCAGGACTATCAATTCTTAAATCACCTTAAGCGACCTAGGATGGCCAAGTTCTTATCTAAGAACCACAATTAGTCAAAAGTTCATTGATTTTAAAAAATAACGCTTAGTTGAATCCTTAGACTTAAATATTTGTTTGTTTTATATTTTTGAATGGCCGGCTGGTGAATGGCAGGGTCCTCAGACTGTGATTGAAATGACTTGCCAATTCCAATCATGGCATACGCGAGTACATTTATCATCGAAAATGAAAAATGATAGAAACCAAAGATAAACGGAGTTCATGGCTCAGTTAAAGCATAAGTCAAGATCTGTAATATTCCAAAGCATTATTCACCCAATTGCGATTTAAAGTCTAATATGGATTTTTTTTATTTTTCAAATAGGACAGAAACCATTTGGAAAATAAACTATTTCAAATAGTTTAAATACAATTCTTGGCTTCACCGCCTAGAATACAAGAGCAAATTGGCTGGCCAAAACGAAAGATAAAATTTGCCCCCGAATAAGTTTAGGTTTGAATTTTCCCGATTTCTATTTATATGCCGATACATTCAAAAATGCTTTAGCGATCAGCAAATATTTTGAATTATTACGGGATCGTTCCTATATATAC